ATAGAAAAAGTTAACGAGTCAATTGACGTAGAATACTTTTAATGGTGGCAACAAGGTTACACTCAAAACAAGAAGCGTGCGAGAGCTCGCGAGCGAACGAGAACCAGGAGTATATAAAAGGTATAGAAGCGAAGCTCTCTATAACAGTCTTGACAACGAAACATAAATAAAGAAACCAACATACATTGCATATTTCAACACTCCGCCTCAATGTATGAAAGATACAAGCGCAACAATAAAAAATGTTTAAACTTTACAAACACCAATATAAGAAAGAAGTTTTACAAATTGTTCTTCTGCAAGACTCATTGTTAACATATCTGCCATTTGCTTTTTAGTTAATGTATTGTATTGTACATTAATGTATTGTACATCTATCTCTTTATTTTGATACATATCACGAACAAAATTATACTTTATATCCACGTGTTTAAGTCTCCGATGTTCCCATCTACTTAGCAGATGAATGACAGATTGATTGTCTTCGTATACCAACACTGGATTATTATTGCAAATATTAAAGTCCTCTAAAAGTCCTTTCAACCAAATCACTTCAGTCAGTGCCGTTGCCAATGCAACGTATTCTGCTTCCGTTGATGATAGAGTTATTCCGGTTTGCTTCTTCGTTGACCAGCTTACAGTAGATCCAAAGACTTGAAGTAGGTATCCCGTGGTAGATTTACGGTCATTATCTGTAGCCCAATTAGCATCTACATATGTCTGAAGTGGTACTTCCGGGTTTAGGTTGCGTTTAAAGAACAACCCGTAATCAAGAGTGCCTTTAACATAACGAAGAATCCGTTTTAAACCTTTCCAGTGAATAAGCTTAGCGTTGCTCTGGAAACGACTGTAGAAGTTCACCGCAGTGCTCAAGTCAGGTCGTGTAGTAAGCATAAGATACATTAAACATCCCACGAGTTCTCTGTAAGGCTTTAATTCGATTATTATTTCTCCTTCGACATCCTCATGTTTTTCTGGATTCGTTTCCATGAGCGTTTTTGCTGGTTTACACTCCATCATCCCAAATCTAGAGAGCATATTCTCCATATATATCTTTTGGCTTAAGAACATGCCTTCCGTCGTCTGCTCAATTTTTATCCCAAGAAAACTCTTAGGTTCACCAATATCTCTCATAGAGAATTCATCCTTAAGTGAGTCCACAATTCTCTGTATTCACATTTCATCGTTTCCTGCAATGATGATGTCATCCACATAAAGTAACAGATAGATACGATAATCCTCTGAAGAACCTGAATATAAGCAGTTGTCTCGTTCTGATCTTCTTAATCCTTGACACAGAATGAAATCGTGAAATCTTGCATTCCAAGCTCGTGGTGCTTGTTTTAATCCATATAGTGAACGATTTAGCTTGCAGACAAGACCATTATCCTTGATGAATCCTTGAGGTTGTTTCATGTAGATAGTTTCACTGATTGTTCCATGTAAGAAGGCGTTTTTAATGTCTAATTGTCTGATTTTTAGCTTAAATTTATTCGCAATAGAAAGAAGAACTCTCACAGTGGTTAGTCGCACCACAGGCGCATAAGTTTCATGATAGTCCAAACCCTTTCTTTGCGAACATCCTTTGATAACTAGACGTGCTTTGTACTTGTCGATATTTCCATCTAGATCTCTTTTAATTTTAAACACCCACCTGTTGTCGAGGGCTTTTCTTCCCAGTGGCAGAGTTACCAGATTCCAAGTCTTGTTCTCGATGAGTGATGTCATTTCCTCATTAACTGCACGTAGCCATTGTTCTTCGTCATCTCTTCCTTGAATATCATCAAAATGTTCAGGAACATCTTCCACGAATGATTCGGCACACACTGCCAAAACAGTGTAGTCTTCCAGATGCTTAGGTTTGTTTCTAATTCGTGTACTTCATCTCAAATTGTCGATGTCCTGTTTAGGCAATTTGTCTGAGTCATCTGACTCAACCTTTTCTTCCTTCTCTGCTTCACCTGCTCTGTTCATTCCGCTTGCTCCGCCTGAATTTGAGAATTCCTCGGTCCTTTCCTCGGGCTGTTGGATTCTGTTGACTTGGACTGTCGTAGAAATCTCTAGTTTCGAATGTGAATTTTGATTCAGTAAAGATGACATCTCGTCCTAGAATTATTTTATTATCGTCAGGACACCAGAGCCGATAGCCGTTTGCACAGTATCCGACCATTTTGCATTGTTTAGATCGTGATTCGAATTTTCCGTTTACTAATTCCTTTGGAATATGGAGATATGCTATACATCCAAATACTCTTAACTTCCGAAGATTCTGTTTCTCTCCAAACCAAAGTTCAGCTGGCAGTTTAGCTTTTAGCGCACTAGTTTGGCTACGATTGGTCAAATATACTGCTGCTATTACCGCCTCCGACCAGAAAATCTTGTTCATTTTGGAGTTCAAAATCATACACCGTGCTTTCTCAATTATAGTTCTGTTCATTCGCTCAGCCACTCCATTTTGTTGAGGAGTGTAGCGAATGGTGAACTCGTATTGAATTCCGCAGTCCTCAAAATGTTGTCGAATTTCATTGGAGATGTACTCCCTTCCGTTGTCACACCTGAATCTACTGATCTTCCAGTTGAAGTGTGCTTCCGCCATTGACTGAAACATCTTGAAATACTTGTGTACTTCCGACTTGGCTTGTAATGTGTACGCTATTGTGAAATGCGTAAAATCGTCAATGAACGTTAACAGATACCTTTTTCCATCATATGACGTGGTATCCATGGGACCACATAAATCACTATGCACCAACTGGAGAGGACGCTTTGCTCTGATCCGTTCAGCTTGATGGGGTAGACGTGTCTGTTTGCTTTCCATACATATCCTACATGGTTCCGATGAGATTTCTACATCTTTCAGTTTTATTCCATCTGCCATCTTCATGAGTTTCTTCATGCCTGTACTGCTCAGATGGCCTAAACGATGATGCCATAACTGAGAATTTTCATCCGTCTCGCAGAGATTCACAGTTTCTATATCATAATCGAAGAGTAACTTGTACAGCTTGTCTGTACGATGAGCAATTGCAGCGATCGTATTCGCTTTGTGAATAATTCCTTTCCCGTTTTCGAAAGTTACTGTGAAACCGTTCATTTCTAATTTGCGAACCGAGAGTAGATTACACTCAAGTCCCGATGCAGATAACACTCCGGATATTAGAATTTTCCGAATTTCTCCATTTACTCGTACACTCACTTTCAGATCACCTGCTTCTGTGGCAGTTAGAATTTGTCCTGATTTCGCGACACGAATGTTCAAAGGAGATGTCAGTTTCCGCACATTGATTAAGCTTACGTCCTTCGTTGCTAAATGTTCAGACGATCCCGAATCTAAAAACCAACATGTAGAGTTATTAATTTCTTCCTCCTTAGCAATGAATACAAAGTCCTTCCGATTGTCGACGTTGTCATTGAGTGCAACTTTTGCCGATCCCGAGGTTTTACTTTCCTGCTTCAGTTTATGACATTCTGACCGTTTGTGTCCAATTATTCCGCAATGATGACATTTAAAGTTAAACCGAGCGCTATGTTTCCCGCTAACCTCATCTTCGCGTTTGTTTACCTTCGGTTTCCGATTATTAGTCGCGGCCGAAAACACGGTTGACGAGTTTGCGCTTTTTGTATTTACGTTTGCACCACTACGTTTCGCCTCTTCATCGAGCAGTCTCGTTTTTACGAAGCCGAGAGTTAATTGTTCACTTGAAAGCGTTTCCAAGGCAGTTACAACCATATTATATTCTTCCGGCATTGTCAATAGTAGGTGACACACTATGTCTGTTTCCTCAAGATTAGCACCGGTCGATTTTAATTCTCGCACTAGTCTATCGAATTTTAAGAAGTGTGAAGCCATTGTTTCTGTCGTAGCGTATCGCATAGTCAAAATCATTTTTCTTAGGCGAAGTTGACTTACTACACCTTTCCGCTCGAAACTTCCCGATAGAGCTTGCCACATCTCAAACGCGGTTGCTTTTTCCTTCACATATTCGAGATGACTGTCCGCAATGCGTTGTATAATAGACGATTTGCACTTTCTGTCCTTTTTCCGCAATGTAATAGCTTGAGCATCAGCAGTTTCTGCTGGCAGGTCTCCTATAAGCACATCAAGTGATTTGTTGACAAAGTCAATGAGATCGTGTTCCTCGAGTAAGACTTGCATTCGAAACTTCCAGTTGCTGTAGTTCGTTCCGTCAAATAATGGAATTTTATATTTTTCGTCGTCCGCCATCTTAGTCACGTACTTCACTTACACTTCCTTCTTCAGACTTTTATGCTTGCAAAAAGAACGTAGGATTTCCGCGATTACTTTCCTCTTTCTTTACGCAACCCTGGGCCCATAACCTGTTGGGATTTGTAATTTATAGAAAGAGTTAACGAGTCAATTGACGTAGAATACTTTTAATGGTAGCAACAAGGTTACACACAAAACAAGAAGCGTGCGAGAGCTCGCGAGCGAACGAGAACCAGGAGTATATAAAAGGTGTAGAAGCGAAGCTCTCTATAACAGTCCTGACAACGAAACATAAATAAAGAAACCAACATACATTGCATATTTCAACAGTATATATATATATATATATATATATATATAGATAACTTTCTATCGAATTATTTTAATTTTTTTTTATTTTCTGTAGTGTCGACTTTGAGCATCGAAGAAAGTAATATTTGCGAAAGTTGGAGATTATTAATCATGAGGTCTGTTTTTTATTGCTGCACTTTTTGAACTAGTACACACAGTGCAATAAGTTGAAGTGAAACAAATATACATTTGTTTCACTTCAACTTATTGCACCGGTTCAGAGTGCAGCAATAAAAAACAGACCTATGAACGTGTACGACAAAGTTGCATCATGCTTGTGAGTGCAGTCGCAGTATTAATTAATCATTTTGGTGCATATTGTACTAATTTAGTACAGCATTCTATAAAAAAATACATTGCTCAAATTAATATAATTCAATAGGAAGTTTCTAGTTAGTACCTGTCAAGTGCACGATTTAAACTATAGGCCTATGGTATAGACAAGCACCTTTGGAGCTTTGATTGGTACGTTTGTCCCATCTATAGCCCCTATTACATGTGGTAACTTCCCAATGCGCTGAAACTTCTCATTAACAGTAATACGCTGGTTTCCTCGGGGCCAAACAATGACGTCTCCAGCAATGTCATTAAGAGCTTTAACAACTCTTATAAAGGAATCACTTGCAGATGATTTTCCCAAATCGAATTGTTCGCCTACGGATCTGCAATATACATATATCACTATCAATATTACTGATAATAACCTAAAAAAATAAAACATCCTATTTTTATGGAGTATTTTTTACCTGTAAGAGTCAGGAGTAGCGAGAAGCCACAATGTAGATAGCAACTGTTTGCGAACAGGAATGGTAGGTCTGCCCGAATAATTTTCCTTGATCAGTAACAAACTTAATTTTGCTTCTAAAATCTCATACGTGTCAGGAATCATGCGAAAACGTTCACGAAATTGCTTTGCTATTAGACCTGGAATGGTTCTGTCTACGTAATCTATGATACGCAATAGCTTCTTTCGTGCCCCACGCAATCTATGCTGATATTTTGTCCGAAAAATAATATCCATTTCCTCGTCTGTCTCGCTATCATTCATTATATTTAAATTAGATTTTAAGAATTCGTCACTAGTATTTACAGCTACAGAAATTAAACGTTTTCGACGTAACTCAGCACTATCCATTTTGAATTTGTACCTTTGATATTTTGGTAGTCGTTCGAAAACCAACAGTTCCTTAAGTTCCCGATTACCCCCACCAACGCATCCCTAAGTCACCTCACTCGCGCCGACAGGGGACGTTTTCGAACGCAGTCATGAGCGAGTATATACCTAGTTTTGCTACTCCTTCCTTATCGAGTAAAGAATCGACCAACCGGGATTTCCATCAGCAGACATTGACAATCTACCCTCAGGCTACGGATTTTGGGATTTTAACTCCCTTAACCTCACGGCAACGTCCCACGAAAAAATAATTGAATTCTGGATCGCCTTACCAATGATAGCTGAATCAACATTTGGAGTTCTCCGGGTCGAACCGAGAATTCCTAAAATTCGCCTAGCGTTACATACGACGTGATAGTAGTGAAAAAGAAAGATCCTGTATCAACAGTAATTCCGCACAAATAAAAAATAGTTTTATGTTTCAGATGAACTACCCTATTTCCACACATTGCTTCAGAATTTTCTGAATTTTTGAGTTTGCCTAACTTCTCTGTTAAGTGCCTGGGCGTACGTACAGTATTTTAGTTGTATTATGGTTGAGTTATGTCTATTTATATTATTATTACAACTTCACTTTAATTATAATTTATTACGCGTGTTGGTATCGTGATTGATAGGAAGGTGATTATCAGAAATGACAGTCGAATTACTTGACTCCAACTTAATTAATATGCCTTTATTATAAGCCCGCGGAAGTACACGTCTTGTCGCGACGATAGCCAAAGGAGGAGTCACTTTATTCCTCGCTCCTAATCTCCTTCTAGCTCGGAGAAACGCTGTTTTTGTTTATCGAACTTTCGAGAAGTTCTCAACTCGGCGTTATAATTTAAAACGAGAAGGCTTCGGTTACTTTCCTATAATTTTTCTGAGGGAACGGTTGCCTTTTCCGATGACTCACGGCATGTGCACCAATGCACCCAACCGCAGTGTCGGATTCTATTTGTCTACTTGTTACATTACATTGTATCTAAGCTGGAAATACAAATAAAATCTTATCGTCAGTTAATATTCGCTTTCATCGCTATTTACGTTCCCTGCCTTAACCGTCACGTGTTTGTCTGTGTTGTCCTTTTTATCTAGCTTGAACAGCTGAGCAGGTCTCTAATATTTGCTCGTATTCTCACGCAATCTCGAGAATACAATATATATTCCCGGCGACAATTATCTATTCTAAATTTTATCTCTTTTTTCTGGGGTACTGGCGATGTAACCGCCACAGTATGTACTGACAACTTCTGTGTGAAAGATAAAACTCTCAAATTAATTAAAAATAATGGCAGTGACGTAGGTATATGAATCATAATAACTGCAACATACATATAGTATATACATACATACATACATACATACATACATACGCTGTTTGTTATTTTATTTGACTACTTTACAAACAATAAGATAGTGTATGGAACTCTTTTTTAATATTAAATTGTGCAGTGTGTGATATTGATAATCTTGTTGAAAATTCTGATTACGTTATCAATAATGCGGATGTGTTTGACTCTCTGACTATTTATATACTAATAATATAATCTCTTTTTGTATATATTTTGTAATTTAATTATACATTGCGAGTTATACTACAAAACCGTAGGTTCTCTAAATTATGCATCGTAATTGCTACAGTAATGGTATTCTTCATAAAAATGTTGAAAACGAAAATATTCGCCACACCACATAAAAACGGCACAACGCATAAAAACGGCCTTTCCACAAATACTACATTTGGGTACATGCTTTTCATTTCTAAAATAACAGAAATCTACAGGGTTTTGAAATTCGCCGGGATGCCTTGTTAAATAGCTGCTTTTAGACAAAGCATATTGGAAGAGATTTTTGAATCTAGGCGAAGAAAATTGGTTATGGGTTAATGATTGCAGTTTAATTATTTCATTACGCGAGTGTAAATTGATACCTTTTTCTTGAAGAATTAAATTATCGAAAAACGTTCGCACAAAATTCTTCCAAATCCTAAAACCAAACACATCTAAAGATTAAATGAAGCCTGTCGTTTTCTTTGGAATAGTCATAAATTTTACTTCTTTATCTTCAGGAATGTATTGTTCTGGCTGACTCGGACAGAGTCCTGTCCACGAGTCAAGTAGAAGCATGCTTTTACGGCTAGTATTCGATAGATACACTTCACTAAACCATGTCTTGAAGTGTTCCGTTGTAAGTTTTCCTGACTTCGACGATTCAATGTAAATATTAACTGGGCGGAATAGAGTTTCCTGCACCCGTGGTCCAAACGTTCCTGTAGTTTTTTTCAACACTATATATAGCGGTGAAAGAAGAGATCCACTTGCCGAAATAATCGGCATAACAGTGTAACTATGTGTTGTAGAAGATACCGATTGAACCATTGCTTCAACTGTTTTTATTCCCGATTTCGCCAATGTTCGCCCAGAATGTACTTCAAGGTTGAAGCCACTCTCGTCTGCATTATAAATTTCTTCAACTTCGGTAGTTGGGATGTTAGATCTTACATTTGAAACAAATGATTGTGCGACATCTTTTAGATTACCAATATTTTCAAATGTAAATTGAGTCCGGAATGTTGTTATCTTGCGGGAAAGAATTTTGTGTACATTCTTGAATTTCCAAATCCACCATTTACTTGCTTTAAATTCGAGTAAATCAACTTAGTCTTTTGCCTCCAAGGCAGTGTTGCCAGATCGTGGACTTTCTCTCTAGATTTAGGGTTATTTTTTAGGCTTGGGAAGAAATTTAGGGAGACAAAATGTTTAGGGAGAATGGTTAGGGAAACAAAATGTTTTTTAGGGATATTTTAGAGAGAGTATTCCATGACGGGTGTTCCTTGATTAGTCATGTTGAGTGCCTTGCATTCAATAAAAAGATTAACAAAAAAATGTCATATATACAGAAGGTTTCTCTCTGATATGTATGTGTATATACAGGGTGGACCATCTGAAGTGATCCAGTTAAATATCTCGAAAACTAGTAGGGATAGAGAAAAATGTTTCGTATGAAAAGTTTAGGGTTACACGGGGGAAGTATGGTACTGACCTTGAAAAATCCTTGGAAGGTCATTTTGAAGGTCATTCAGGGGTCACGATGGTTTTTTTAAATGGAACCCCTAGTTTTTCACCATGGGATGAGAAAGCTGGTTTCAAGCCCTTTACGAAACACTGGTTGTGGTCCACAATCCGCCCACTGGGGTCCGAGTTATGGACCATCAAAGTCATTGATGAACTACTCTTAGCGCTACCCAGGAACAACGACGTGGACGTGGTAGTTCTCTGTTCCCTTCGAGGTGCTTGATTTTTGTGAGTCCCC